TTTGGATCAATGATTTTAACTAATTGACGGACTGTCTCTTGATGAATCCTAATGCTATCATCCACCGCCAGATGTTGTTGCATAGTTTGATAGCCTGCGTTCCAATCCTCCCCTTCTATGTGCTCAAGAAGGATACCAACCAGGTCAGCTGGTGTCACTCAACCTTCTTGGATGTCATCTCTGCGCCAGTTGAGACCCATTTCTTTTGACAATTGATTTATGTTGTGCATGTTGATGGGAATATCATATGTGTCATTGATGGCACACAGAGCAATGGGTTTGGTGTCACCAAGAATATAATGCCGTCTCAAGATCCCATAAGTGGTATTCTTTTGATCCGGGGTCATTGATGGTGAGTTTGTTAAGTTGTGCTGCGCTAGGTATTGCTGGAGACTTCTCTTTGAAATTGGGATACCAATATTATGAAGGGCATCTACCATACTGTCCTGTGACATTCTCTGTTGGCAATATTCAGGAAGAAGATGTTCAAGGAGCTGATTTTGGAGTGGGGTGAGGATGTGAGGCCTTTTGATTTCATCTTCATTTTGATTCATAGTATTGAAAATATTGAGAGTCAGGTGTGGAAATCAACAAGTTTGTTCTTGAGAGTGTTCTAGATAAAGTGCTGATTTCAATATAGTGAACTGTGAATGAACAGGAAGTGATAATGTGACGTGGTTGCTCTGGACTGGGTAAGGAGTTTGTCATGATTGATTCAGAGCTCTATTTATAAGCAAAAATGGGTAAGTAAAAAGAAGGTGGATCTCAGGAGAGATGCTGACCCCTATTACAACCATTAGCAGATGCAGCCTGTTTGAAGGCTCACTAGGCTCATGTACGTTTAATTGTTCAGTATTGTTTGTGAACCCCTAACTAACCATCAGCATCTCAGAAGCTATCCTAATCTAATCTACCGGTCTTTAGAATTACAGCTGTTCCAACAAAGATTGTTTTTTTTTGAAAATCTCGCCAATGTGCAAAACCCGGGTTATGAAGACTGATTTGTCATTGTCTCTCCGCAAT